CATATTTTAAAAAAATATATAGAGAAAACGAACATGTAAATATTCATTGGCTAAGATTTGATGTTATAGTTTTGTTTTGGGGTTCCCATATGAGAGAGACTATTGACAGAGTTGTTAGGGTTTCGTTTTGAGAGAGACAAGTGAAAGAGTTGATTAGGTTTTATTTTGAGAGAGACGACTGTCATGTACTGAAGCGAGATATAATTTCGCTTATATATAAATGAGTATCATCTTTCGTCACGATTGAAAACAAAAATTATGGTGATATACATGTCAATCACATTTTTATCACGATAAATATATAATTGTTGGTGCTGGGATTTGAACCATTTCACTCTGTGTACCTTTCACTAAGGTTGCTTCATTTGACTGTTGTAACATGTTCTTTAGTAAATACAAAAAAAAAAACGCCCATAAATAAACTATTACCACCGTTAACACTACGATCGTTGTAAAATTGTGTTACGAAAGACCTATTTTGTTGTAGTATAAATAATCAATATTATCTAAATATCTCTAATAATTCAAGTATATCTTCTTTTTTTTCTACATTCAATACTATAATCCATATAATTATAAAAATATTAAAATACCCTTAAATCCTCAAAACCCCAAAATAGGACAAATAACACACATAAAGACTCCAATAATAAAATAAAATATTAATTTAAAAAGTCCGGGTGTTACAACTCTGTCCCACTTAAAAATATTTTCGCCCTCGAAAATTACCCATTGAAAACAGATTCAGATAAGATTCCTTCATCTGGCTTTCAAGCTCCCACGTTGTGCTCCCTCTAGCAGGTCTTCCCCAAACAACCTTAATCAGAGCAATATATTTACCTCTGAGCTGCTTCACTTCTTGATCCTCAATCCTCAAAGGTGATGCATCAACAATTAGATTATTCCTCACTTGTACATCATCCATTTGGAAAATATATAAATAGTAAATTTTCAATGGTTTATGAAACTTTTTCTCAAATGAATTAAATTATGCAGTAAAAGTTTCTATGACATTTTATATGAACACTTGAAAAGCAGTAAGAATTGTTTGAAAAATATGATGAAAGAGGTTAACTATAGTGTCAATTTTTTTTTGCTATAAATACATTACAAGATGCCTTTAGAAAGAGTGGTAATGTTTGGAAAAATGATCATGAGAATTCACACTGTTTTGGAAAATGTATCATGATCATATGTAATGAAGGGGTATGGCTATGCTTCATAATTTTTCAATATGCTTCAGATGAAAATCGATGGTTGTTCAACCAAAGTTCAAAATTTTGAATAAAAAATAAAGAACAATCGATTGTAGTAACAAACCAATCGGTTGTGGGTTCAAGAAATTATCCCCCTCAATCAATTGTTCCATAAACACCATCGGCTGCTGCTTTAAAGTTTCACGTAATGTACAGAATCTAGGTGCTTCATGACAATCGACTATTCCAATAAAAAACTTGAAATTTTTCTAAGTTAAAAGTATGTTTTGATTGAGAATCATGCATGAATGATATGGCAATCTTAGAAGGGTTTATATGAAAAAAATTTAGTACCTAAATCTTATATACATGTGGATTGTGTCGCACCTCGAAAAATCATCGAGAACACGGCCCTTGTGTGAAAGGCTCGGAAATGCGCTTTGACAGAGTCGCCACCGAACTTTATTTATCCCAAAAAAGGGAAAGAAAAATATTGAGAAAACCTTTATGGAAGAGATAATAACACGGTCGTCACAACCGTGTTATGGGTTCGAGAGTCGGTTATGCAAGGGGAAGGTATTAGCACCCTTCACATCTGTTGTACTCAACGGGAACCTCTTAGTTCAAATTTTGATGAATGTTAGCTAAACTTATTTTTTTTCTTCTCAATGATAAATGTGAAACGGTAAGATAAAAGAAAAACGGTGTTAAGGAAAAAATGGGTGGTTTTAGGATAGGGTTCTCGTCAAGGATTGGGGCCTTGTACCTACGTATGCTCATTCGGATGAGAATGAGTAATCAGAGTGCTCGTAGTTCAACTACGGGAAAGGGTAGGGAAACAGAAGATGGATAGAAGGTAGCTTGCCAAGATCATTGCAATCTTGTTCCTATGTATCTTACATTAAGATATGACTGAAGAATCAGAGCGTCTGTAGTTCGTGGAGACGACCACGAAAAGAGAGGGGGTTAACGTGTTACAGTCTGGTTGGATGATGATTACTTGAGGCTTAAGAAAGGCTTCTCGGGCCCAAGTAATCAGGAGAGTGGGTCAAAGGCACGACTCTCTCTCTTTTTCATCTTGAAAATAAGTTGTGTTTGAAAAGTGTTTTTGATGATGTATGGTTGGAAGGTGATTGAATATTGTCGAATTTGAAGTGTTTTAAAGGTGTCAATTGCTCACACATGAGTAAAAGAGCTCGCATGCAAACAACTGAAGAAAGATCAAAGGCTCAATCCCTCTCTTTTTCACCTTGAAATATTTTTGGTATTTGTTAATCATTTTGATAATTTGATCGAGAAAATCCGCTTGACATTAGATCAAGGGTTTGATTGTATTTGCGTGCAACGAGGTTGGTTTGAAAAATTGCTCGACGACGAGTCGAGGGTTTGGTTGAAAATAGGTGATAATCGATACTAGTCCTTAGGGGTGCTCCTAATAACGAAACCACGATGAAATATGTGAGTGTATGCGATAGGTTGATGGAGAACGCATACGAGCAATTGACTTACGGAGGGTGTTTGAAAATGGCTCGACGATAAATCAAGAGTTAGTTTGAAAATGGTTTAGTCTACGCCAGTCCCAAGGGGTGCTCCTAGAAGACAAACCACAATCAAAGCAAATACGAATGCGTACATCGAAATGGGAGTGGGGTACATGTAAGTTACACGGGATTGTGCGAAATAAAATAGTTCATTGTAAGGTAGCCCAAGAGGAAGTCGTGTGCGTGCGAGGTGTCCTAAACTAAGCCTTGAGCAAGAGTCTGACAAAAGCTCCAAGCTAGGGTTTCTGCATACAGTCCAAATTCCATTGATCAAAAAACGTAACCATAGTCCACTAATTTATGCTTTTAGGGTTTCGATAATTGTTAATGTGTTTTCGAATAGTGTGAATAAGATATGATGAATATGAATATGAGATGAACAATATGAATAATATGACAAGATATATAACAATATAATCAAGATAATATCCACAATAGTATAATCAAAATAATATTAACAAGTATATGAACAATGATAATAAAATCAAGATATATTTACTGAAATTAAAACAAGAGTATATTGACGGAAATTAAAATTAGTTGTTAGTCGTTTTTGAATGAATCGGGTCGAAATATAGCGTTAAACCGTCGTAGCTCAATCTATGGAGAAGATCAAACTATAAGAGGTCGCGCAAGTTAATATCGTGCTAAAAACATGATGGAGAAATGATATTGAGGATCATTTTCCAAATTAGTCATGCCACACGAAAAGAAAAATAGAACGGTCTCGTCTTAACTACAAACTTGTGTCAATTAATTGAAGGTAACCTATCGTGATTCCAAAGTATAGAAAATGATCTAAAAGATCATTCACTACAGATTTGAAATAACGAAGGTTAAACAACCTCAATCAATCAACATTCACGATTCTAAAGACTTCATCGACCAATAACTGAAAATAAAATAAAAACGACATAAAAAATAAAAAGAACTAAATAACGGTCGTCTTAATCAAGATTTTATCGATAATCGACAATAATGATATTAGACTTTCATTGAGAAAAAAAAGAAATGAAGAGAAAAAACAAGATAGGAAAAGCGAAACATAAGTCCAAGGTCAAAACCTAAACCAACCTCCTAAAGAATAAAAGAAACTTGATTTACAAAAAGCAATAAAATCAAAAATAAAAGTAAACAAAAAAACAAAAAAAAACAAAAAAAAGAAGGTGTTGAAGTTGAAAGGGAGTTTGTTAATAATATCGGAGTCATTTGGGCTTGAGGTAAGCCTATTATCCTTTATAAAACCCAACTCCACGTTAATAAAAAAAGAGAGGTGCGGATCTAGAAATGATACGGACCCTAAGGCCCAACAAGCACCAGCCACCCCTTCATTAACCTCATAAACATTCTAAAGAAACAGGGTACGGTATAAGAAAAATGAAAAAAAAAACAGGTTCCATGGAAAACATCAAAAAAGCAAGGTCAAACGACGATTTTTTCACCCAAATAACCAACTTTCTACACTATTATTTCCAAACTACCCAACATTTCAATATATTAACCAATCTACCCTAGTTTGGTATTTTTTTTATTTTTTTTTTACAAGGGGGCGCCATGGGGGTTGGAGCCTCCCTTATAATTTGTATGGGGGCGCCATGGGGGTTGGAGCCACCCTACAAATTATAAAGGGGGCGCCATACCCATTGGAGCCTCCCTTAAATGCCCTAAAGGGGGGCGCCATGCTCCTTGGAGCCTCCTTTATACGAAAATAATTTGTTAAATATATTATAATTAATATAATTAAAATATTATATTATGGTTTTCCAAAATTTTTTTTATAAATAGGTAGACATGTTGCTAACATTGTTTCATCCAAATTTAGAAGAGTGAGTCATGTTCCTTAGAAGATATGGGCATGTGATTTTTTCTCCGACGAAGCCTCCGATAAGGATGTTGTTTTGGAACATTCAGAGTTTAGAACAACTACGAAGAAATTTGAATCGGTGGCTAGAAGGAGACATTCCAAATGGTGAAAGAATTAGGAGTATTGAAAGACTTGTCTCGTACTTCTCTGTTGAAGACGGAAACATACGGCGTGACTGGGTGCGAATTAGAGATGACAACGAAGTTAGGTCTATGATGTTCGGAACTGATGATATTACTTTGATTGTTGTTATATCTTAGGTTATGTTGTAATAATCGTTGTATTTTAATGATTTGCGTTTTATGTTGTAGAAGTAATTCAAATCGTTTTTGTGGTAATGAAAAGTTGATATAAATATTAAATTGCACGATTACACAAATTTTAAAGACCAAATTAAATCTACCTAGAACTTGTTCCAACATTTGGACAGTTTTTCCTCGTATGCCCTGGAAGACGACATATTCCGCACAATCTTTCCATTTTCTCAACTGTATCCATTTCAGTTGTGATTCGGGTGCTTTTGGGGCGGCCCTTTTTGTTTCTTCTCATATTTTCATTGTGGTAGATTGTGTCTCCATGATAGGTTGGCCAGTAGTCCTCACTAGCTACCACTGGAAAACTGCTACTGTAGATACCGAATAAGTTGACGACCTTGTAAACTTCTGATAGCTGCAAGAATGGATCCTGACGAGCAGTTGAACATGCGGCAATGACATGTGAACAAGGCATGCGGAAGGTTTGAAACTTTCCGCAGTCGCACCAATTTTTATGAAGTTCCACCCTGTAGTGTCCCATTGGCCGACCCTCGTTGTGATCCATTGTCTCATCAACAATGAAGCTGTAATCGTGACGATCGAATGGTCTAACTTGATGTGAGGCCGCCTTAGAAGTTTCATCCATCATATACTTCATGCTTGATTCGCTGAATATTTGCCCTGATTGCAGTACAGCGCTCCATTTTTTGCCTCTTGCTGCAAATAGTGACCCCAATCTGTAATACGTTGCCCTTACCAACGCTGTGATGGGGAGGTTCCTAGTTCCCTTAAATACGCCGTTTAGGGATTCTACAAGATTTGTGGTCATGTGACCCCATCTACACCCTCCATCAAATGACCTAGTCCATTTCTCGACTGGAATATTATCCACCTACCTTAATGCTTCCATGCTTGACAACCTTATTTCTTCTCGGTAATACATGAACGATGGTTGGTTTAAGGGATACGCAACATTCACAACTTTTTTACGGAGGTTTCTGTCTTTATGACAATTGTCCCCACTTCAGTATAACGCAGTACCGCAATCTTATTGATCACTTGGCGCAAGAAGATGTAAACTCACTCACCTACATATTTATGTTATACTCTCTTTGAATATTATTAGAAAATACTAAACATTTTTTTTCATCCTTCAGTTCATTTGGCGGCCGTATCTTGGTCTAGAAGCATTTCATCAAGTTGAACGACAAGATTCTGCGGTGTGGAGTGCAAAGGTGCCCATTATCAACTTCACCACCGTCGAAATGCACAACAGTGATCGTGTGAAACTTCAATTTGGAATGCTTCAAGATATTCCATGTCCCCCAAAGTGCATACCCGACAAATATCACAACGGTAAAGTCTCCGACCAATGGGAATATAATCTGTGGACCAAGTATGCAAAACACGAGTGTCGTGAATGGAGGCATCGTAACAACTATGTTTTGTCCGACAATGTGTTTCCATACGAGATGAAACAATCTATACAATACATGACTTGGTATACGTCTGTATCAATTGGTTTCATTTCACATCCAAGGTATCTTAATGACCCACGCCAACAAGATTCATCATCAAGGCCCCAGCAACCAACCCAGCCCTATTTCCAACCGCCAACCCAACCTCAATGCCAACCATCAACCCAATACTATTTCCAACCACCAACCCAACCCCATTTCCAACCGCCCATCCAACCCCATTTCCAACCCCCAACCCAACCCTATTTCCAACCCCCACTCACACAATCACAGCCATATGAACATACTCCTAACCAATTCACTCCATTCACACAAACTCATTCACAATCCGAATACCAACAACATCCACCACAATACCACACATACTCCCAGTTTCAAACACCCAATCAACCCATACCCACCCAAACCTTTACACCCATCTCACCCTACGATCAGGCAGGTTATCGTCCTGACATTGCCTCATCCAGCCAACCACCCCAAAATAATTATGAAGGCATGGGCAACCCTTTTAATTTGGATGACTTTACGGATATGGACTCTTCATGGGCCGAAGTGATGCAAATGCTTGATGACGACACAATGGACCCGACTCCACCACAAAGACCACCAAGAAACGTATGTAATCGAGGATGCGGTACGGGCAGACATTTAAATCGATCGAGTCGTAGAAATTAGTGTACAAGATCTTTCAAATGTAGCCATTTGTATGTGATTAAATTTATTTAATCCAATTTAATTTTTATTTGTTGTTTGGAATTTATTAATGAAAATATTAATTATTATTTATTTATAAATTGTTAAAAATATGAAACAATTTCAATATTAAAATATAAATTGTTAAAAATTATTCAGAAATTATTATTTACAAAATTATTATTTTTAAAAAAATTTTAATTTATTAAAAATTATTTATTAAATATTTTTAAACTAATTAAACATTAAAAATAATTTTTAATTTTCGTTTAAGGGAGGCTCCAATGGGTATGGCGCCCCCTTTATAATTTGTAGGGTGGCTCCAACCCCCATGGCGCCCCCATACAAATTATAAGGGAGGCTTCAACCCCCATGGCGCCCCCTTGTAAAAAAAAATAAAAAAAAATACCAAACTAGGGTAGATTGGTTAATATATTGGAATGTTGGGTAGTTTGGAAATAATAGTGTAGAAAGTTGGTTATTTGGGTGAAAAAATCTCAAACGACGCTCTTCAATATTTAAAAAAAAACTCAGACAAAGATCCAACATTATGAAAACATTCGAAGAATGGTCTCGCGAGCAGATCAAAGCAAGTCTTCCCAAACTTTCTCTTCGAAGAGGACTCCGCCTCCAAATGCATTCATTCAGTTCCCAAATTCAGGTTTGAATCTCTCCTTCTTGTTCTGACTCAGTTTTGTTCTCACTCTCCTTCTTCTCTTTTCCATATCGGTTTATGTTTTTGGTTTTTGAATGGATTCTATGTTTGATTCGATTTGGTCTATGGTATCATGGAAAGATTGAAGGAATATTGAGGTTTGATGGTGAAAAGTGTGGTTCAAAAAAATGGAGATTGAAGGAGATTTTGAATAGAGGTTGGGTTATGTTGAAGAAGGAAGGGAATGAAAATTTGGAAGCGGAAGGTGCGGTTGAGGGGAGGATTTGGCAGGATGATGTTGGCTTCCCTTGAGCTTCCGAAAGAATGGAGAAAAGGGCATGATTTATAGGAGACTTTGAGGGTATTTTGGGAAGGATTTGATTCTTTTTTTTATGTGTGTTGTGGTCTGCGCAGGGTGATCCTTCTTATTGCAGCTGGATTGGTTTTGTGTAGGAACGTTTGTATTGATACGTCTTGGCTACAGAATATTTGAAGGTTTGTGTGGGGTATAACAGGTGTGTGATGAACTGTGCCTCTCTTGGGCTTCTGCGACTTGCTTTTGGATTTATCAACTTATTCATTTTGTCATGTGTAGCTGGCTTGTAATGTTATTTTGATTTTGATTTGCAGATTGTCCAATTGGCTTCATGTACGTTATTTCTTCTCATGTAGTAGCTTGGAATATCACGTGGGGTTTGTGTCGTGTAGGATCTGGAGGGTGCGAAATGTTGGTGTGGAGTGGGTTGTGAAATTTGATGAACATGACAATTTTGTGGCTGGTCTTGTTGTGGCAAGTTGTTTAGATATTGTGAGGAGTGGTGTACGATGGATAGGAAAGTTGGGTCATGTAGCATTTTTCAATGCAATTTTTTTGGTCGTAATGAAAGTAGGAAAAAACTTAGAAGGGGGTTGAATAAGTGGTTTTCAAACAAATATGACAATAGAAAATAACAAGTTATTTGTATCCTGGTTCGTTTTAACTCAAACTACTCCAGTCCACCCGGCCAAGGTGATTTCGCCTCTCTCAAACGAGGACTTAATCCACTAAATCAAAACTTGATTACAATGATTTCCACTAAGGCAACTATCTTAGTCTTCTCAAGAATCCTGACCACAACTTGGTCTCTCAAGGAACTTTTACAAAGAGTAAAATACAAATGTGTTTAAGGTGCTTCTAAAAAGCTATTATCACAACTGTGATTTACACAAAATGAAGAACAAATAAAACTAGTGTTTTATGAAAGTTGTTTGAATATTTTCTTTGATTGCTTCTTGAATTCTTTCTTTCAAAAATGTTGTAGCAAATTATTGTGAATTGTTGTAATTGAAGTGTTGATGAAGACTTCTTTATATACACCACTTTCTCAATAGTGTATGGAAGAAAGTACTGTAGGATGTAGACATAAAGGACAAATAATTTTCGTCTTGATTTGATATTCCCTTTTTTCCTGAAATCCTGTGTCATGCACGAATGAGAAATAGTACCGTTGGTAGACCTTGGGTTTAGCAACGTCTCTTTCTTGAACACTTTCTTTTTAGATAAACATATATGAAAAATATTCTTTTATCAGATCCTCTGATGTTGTTCCTTGTTCTTCTTATCAGAGTCACTCTTTCAGAGTATTGCAGCAAAGTGCTTAGCGTGAAATGATCAGAGTTGACTTGATTCAGAGCCACTGTACTTGCAGCGTTTAGTTCTCAGAGTCTTCTGAATATTCTGAGTCTTTATACTCTACGCTCAGAATCTTCTGTAGGTAGTGCTTCGGAATCTTCTACTTCAGAGTCTTCTTCAGCAAACGCTTCAGAGTCTTCTGTGCTGCGCTTCAGAGTCTTCTACAGTTGCACTTCCTACGCTCAGAGCTTAGCGTTTATATTGTTCAGAGCTTTGCTTTAAATCATGTTCAAAGGAATTCTTTGTCTTCAGATGAATATTTTATTTGATATCTGAAACAAAAACACTTGAAAAAAATTATAGTATATATTTTCTTATACGAAATTTCATTAATGTTATTATCAAAACATTGAGATATATATAGAACCAATCTGTGTTCTAACAATCTCCCCCTTTTTGATGATGACAAAAACTATATGAAATTTTGTTCAAAGCATGGAAAAAATATATATCTCCCCCTGAGATAATGAATCTCCCCCTGAAATGAATACTTAGAAAAATTAATACTTCCCTTTCAGCATTAGTATTCTTTCCAGAGTCAGAGTTAGCTTTGTAGACTTTCTCAGAGTTTGTTCAGAGTTACTTCTAAGGATATTACCAAATGAGAAGTTTTTATCTCTGAAACACTTAATTCAACATTAGTTGTATTTTATCATGTATGAGTTACCATTTGGTATCTGTTTATATGAATAATCAAAATTTCCATTTTCTCCCCCTTTTTGTCATATCAAAAAGTGATTTAAAAAATCATTTAAGACAAAAAAATCAGAGCATGAAAGCAAGTGTAACAGATAATCAGATAATCAGACAAAAGCAACCAGATGTATTCATTCAGAAGAGAACAGAAACAAGTAAAAAACAAAGATGTGAACAGACAAAAAAAAACAACTAAGAAGGACGAGAGGCTATAATCTTCAGAAGCTCAGTTATCTCAAAGGTTTGTGCTTCCTACTTTGCCATCCAAGTCTTTATCTCAGAAGCGGATTCATCTTGATTAGCCATCCAAGTTTTGATTTCTTCTGTTGTCTTCTCTTGCTTAACCATCCAGGTTTTAATCTCAGAAGTTGCAGCCTCTTGCTGAGCAAGCTTTTCCTTAACGTCTTCAGAAACTTTAACTTTTTCAGAGTCTGTCTTTAAAACTGTTGATTCTGGAATGACCACTGAAGCAGATGCTGGCTCTAAATTCATATCAGAAGGCTCATCAGAAGCAGAAGTCTCTTCAGAAATAACAGCCTCTATGAAAGTTTCTTCAGGCTGAGGAATTATACTAATCTGAAGTGCAGCAGTTTCTTCAGATGCTGAACTCACAACCTTTTCAGGTGTGTTTTCCA